CATCCTCCGGGTTTGGTTAAAAAAGGGGGGAACCCCCCCAAACCCCTCCAAAATAAAACTTGGGGGAGGGAGGGAGGCGATTTCTCTGGTCTCTTGTTCCTGCAGGGAGCCCAGCGCCTCCTACCTCCCCAAGAGCACCTCGAGTGCCGTGGTTGGCTGCAGAGGGGGGTGCCGTGGGGGTCAGGACGGGTGCCCAGGGGTCAGGGAGTGGGTCCTGGGGTCCCCTCTTGGCTGTGGGGCTGTGCAGCGGCTTGTGCTGGGGCAGTTTCTGTTTTCCCGCAGCTATAACCTGTCAATTCTTGCAGGGCCTGAGTGACTTGAAACAACCCATCAGTGTGAAGGTGTCCCTGTGTGGCTCAGGCATGGGGCTGGGGGCAGCTACCTGCTTCTCCATCCTCACCCCCTAAATCAGGGTCAGGATAACTCATGAGCGGGCCACCTCAACTGCTTTGAAACCTGGTGGCAGCTGCAGCTCAGCGTCTTTGGGAGGTTTAATGGAGGAAAAGCCCTCCTGTCTTCCTTCCCCCAGTGTTAGCTCTTGTCCCTTCAAACATCCAGACGTGGTGGCTGATGTGGTGCTGGGTGCCTTCAGTTAGGCAATGGGGGATGAACCCCTCTGTGCAGTGGGGGTGAGATGACAGTGGCATCCGATGTCCCCTGCTCACGGTGAGGAGGGTCACCAAGGCATTGGTGACCTCCTTTGCCTTGTACCAGCACAATTAGCTGCAGGAGGAAGTCCAGGAAGGTTTGGTGGTATTTGTTCAGCAAACCAGGTCACTGTGGTGCTGTGCAAATTACCTGCTGAAGGTAGAGTTGTGAATGGTGAAGTGTTTCAGCGCCTTTTCTTGTTTATAAGATTCTCCTATGTGAGTGAATCCCTGGTTGTTGAAGGCTGTTTGTGTTAACTCTTGCCGGTTTTGGCCAGCTGCGCTGGCATTTGCTCCGAACAGGGACCCGCAGACAGGAGGGGAGCTAAAACACTGGCTGGTGCTTTCCCAGGCCGAATCCCTCCCCCGCCAGCCGCTGGCCTCAGGTTCTTGGGCTCAGCGTCTACGCTGAGCCAACATCTCTGCTAGAGGGACTGCTCCTCCAGCAGTCTGCTTGCTTGAACGCTGCAGGTTCTAGAGTTGATTTCCTAAGCTCTGCGAGCTCAGGCTGGTCACGTTGTCCCCATCGAGGGCTGATACCGTGGCCTCTGCCTGCCTCACCCAGGCTTTTTCCAGCCTGCCTGCTCCTGCCAGCAGGGCAGGAGGAGTTGGTGTCTCTGGCAGAAAGCTCTCCAGAAACCTTCTCCTGTCTGCAGCTTCCCAGCCCCGATGTTTTCCCTGGGCTGGGCTTAAGGAGGCCTCGAGGAGGACACCATGGCTGTGAACATGGGAACCTGCCTGCTACTGAGAACAGAGCTGGCCTGGCCAAGTGGCTTCTGTCACCGGCACAAAGCTGGAGCTGTCTCTGCCCTGCTTCTGGTGGAGCTCCTGGCCTGCTGCTGCCTGGTGTCCTTGAGCCGTGCTTGCTCAGCAGCAGGCTGTCTTCTGCTGGTGGCTTAGCAGCAGGGAACAAGGCAGATTTGGGGAGATGTGGGTGGATTCCACCCTGCGTGAACATGTGAGGATGAAACTCTTGGCATTGGTCTGGGCAAAACAGAGCCGTGGAGTCGTATGTTTTGAAAATAACATGGGAAAGTGCAACCCTGGCCTTGCAAGAGGAAGGTGCTGGTACCTCTGGCTGGCACTAGGGCACCGTCACGGTCTTGAACTTCTCAGGACCTTTCTTCATTGACAAACTGGAAGGTGTAGTAGGTGGCTTGTTGCTTTGTGGTAGAGGCAGCCTCCCAAAACAGATGAGCGCCAACTGCTGCGGGCTTTCATGCAAATAAAGCGGCCCTTCACCGAAACTGGAGTCTCTTAATAAGCTAAAGCAGCTTATCAGGTGCTTAGTGTTGTTGTTGAAGCAACTGTCATAACTAATACTTGGCTCTTCTGTGCGACCTGGTGGCTTTGCTTGTCTCTCTGCCCTTGAGCGTTAGAAAAACACTTTCTGTGAAGCAGGGGAGTCGGGCTGGTGAGGCGGATCCTCTCGGCTGCCGGTGATCAGGTGGCTTAACAGCCATTAGCCATAACACGGTAGCCAGCAAAGAAGCAGTTGGGTCAGACGCAAATATAATCAGAGCTGGACCTCATCCCTCTGTTGACAAAATTTGGACTGCTGCGTGACCGCAGTTCTCTCTAGGGATGCCCTCAAGTGCCAGCTCTTCTGACCAGAGGTCTGGTTCCCTGTGGTAGGTGTCGGGTTTGTACTGGGGGGCCTACGGAGCTTCTGCCTTCATGCATGGTGGTCAGGGTGTGCTAAATCAGGCCCCCGAGATGGCGGGTGTTGTGTCGTGGGCTGCAAAAGAGGCCGTGGCTCTTCTGTAGTAGCAGATAGAGAAGTAGGAACAGGGTGTGGTACTTTCAGTCTTAGTAACTAAATCCAAAGCAAATTGAGAACCCAGTCCCGGTAGAAAAGCAGATAGTCCTTTTCTGTGTTTGGAAACTGGGAGGCTCATCAGGGAAACTTCAGAGCCCACCTTACCTTGTCCATGTAGAGTGGGGTTTCTTTACCAGCTTGAAGAGTTCCTGCAGAAGTAGAAGGAATGAGAATGAGACCTGCTACAAATTTCCCTGACGTAGGTCACTGTGGTGTTAGCAGCCCTCTTGTTGGCTCGGCTGCTGGCTGGAGGAGGTCCCTGTGGTGGTTGCACTCTTGTTGGCTTGGCCAGCAGCTGGAGGACCCTGCGGGGGTCTGAGTGTGATGTTTGGTGTGGGTCTCTCTGCTCCCCGCTTTCCATCACTAGCAAATGTAGCTCCTGCCTATGACTTTTCTGATCCAGGCTGGGAGCAGTCCCAACTTTCTCCTCCAGCGAAACGTCTTAAAATACAGGAGGGCTCGCCATCAAATGGTGCTGGTGTTTTATGTACCCAAAGACTTGGGCCCACCTCGGAGAGGAGCTACCTTAGGACCGCGAGCAGCGGGAACTGCTGATGTTTCCTTGCTGAAAAACAGCGCCAAGGCGCCTGTCGGTTCGGAATCGCTGCTAATAGTGCTCCATTTACTGGCCGTCAAAGACCTGTTCTGTTCTCTGCTAAGTCATTAAAGAATAGTGCTTACTGTCCGGTCCTTGCTTGGAATAACTTGTACTTGCTTGTC